TTTGAACCTAGGTTCAATAGGAACACTAGTGCCAACTGTGTGATTGTATGAGAGGACAACTATATATTAAATAAATAATAATCTTATACAGTATAATAGCTAAAAAATAATTTTGTTTATATATAAAAGTTATCTATATTTACAATATTTTATGCCAAATAAAATGGGTTTTTAGTTATTTTTAATATAATTTTTATTATTTTTTATAAATATTTTGTTGAGTAATAAATTTTTTCAAATTTTAATTTTTTTTTTAAAAAAAAGCTATTTTTTAAGAAAAATCATTTTTACAACCAACCAATATGCAATTTTATAAGTTTGTACTATGCAAGTGCATTGCTCTATATATGCTCTGTATATGCTAAATATGCAGTTAAAATTTCACCTTAATTGGATCAGTAGTTGTTGGGATATAAATTTTTAAAGTTTATAACAATTTACTATAATTACAATAGTAATTTTGTATTATATAGAAAATTGATCATCAAACTTAAAAATTTATATCTCAACACAATTAAGCTAAAATTTTAACTATATATTTAGTATATATAATAGTAAAATATTTTTTTATTTAAAATTTATAAAACTGCATATTGGTGGTAAAAATGATTTTTTTTAAAAAAAATTAAATTTTTAAAAAAATTTATTACTCAACAAAATATTTATAAATAACAATAAAAAATATATTAAAAATAGCTCAAAGCCTACTTTATTTAATATAAAAAAATTAAAAAATTGTAAATAAATAGTTAAAATTTAATAACTTTTATATGTAACCAAAATTAATTTTTAGTCATCGTGTATCTATCTTTTTTATCTTTTTGCACCAGCCTATATATATATTGATTAGGCTGTCCAGATTATGCAATTATAAATTTGTATATTAGGACTTTTTAAAGACCTAAGAACCCTAGGTCCTTAAATTTGGACTTGGTCTTTAAAGACCAGATTTAAAGACCAGGTCCTAAAGTCCCGGACCTAAGGACTTTACCAACCCTAACCTTCAGATAAACGAAGAAATGGCTTAATGCTTGGGACAAGTTCATCAGTAAGATCTATGAATTTAGGCTCATCTACATCGGCAATTTGAGTTTCATCTTCAGCAAAAATATTAATGACCTCATCGTTATTACCATATTCTTTGGGTTTTAATTTGGTAATTGTTTTATCCTTTGGATTTTCAACATGCAGTACCTCTAGTTTTAAAAACATCTTGTATAACCCTGGACGAAGCGCTGGGTCGTCTTGCCATGCTTAACAGTGATCAGAAGACATGGATTAATATATGAAATAATATGTTAGGAGAATATTTTCTTGTTATCTGGCATGATTTGACGTATACATGGATATCAACAGGATCATAGCAACAGCATGTGGCCGAAGGCCTCGTACGTTGCAATTATACTGTCAATATCCATGATCCGTATATCATGCCAGATAACTAGTTTATCTGGCAGGTATGACGTATACAATTACGGAAAGAATTTTATATTACTTCCGTAGATTTTTACATTAAAATTTGCCACACGATTTAAACAAAAATTTGCGGAAATAATGTAAATCTTTTCCGTCAGTGTTTACATAGTACCTGCCGGATAAAATATAATACCTTACCAGCACGAATAATTTTAGTAAATTCTTGCTGGGAACTAGTTAAATCTGTATCAATTTTTTCTCTATTTCCAGCCAAGACATGTCTTGCTATCTTTTCTTCATTCCACTCTCTATATGGAATTCTTTCGAATACAAATTCCCATAGTAACATACCAAAACTACATTAAATCAAATTTCGAATATAAATAAATATACGTGATGAAATAAATAGTTTAACATACTAAATTACCTGAACACATCACATTTATATGTATAATATCCTACTTTTTTATCATTTCGAAATTGTTCAGGAGCCATCCAATGTTCAGGGGGATCAGATATGTTCTTAAATTCTTTATCATCATGTAACGGTCGACATAATCTAAAGTTTGTGATCTTAGGTTCCAAATTTTCAGTAATCTAGCAAATAATTTAAATAATTTAGAGGAAAAAGTATATATATATATATATATAATATAATATGTATCATTAATTAGAAGCTTTTACTTACTAGAATATTTTCACATCGGACATCATGATGCATGATATCACATCCATGTAAAAAAAGAAGTCCTCGACAAACCCCAACAGAAATATCCAATTTGGTAGACCAATCAATAGAGAATTTTTCATACAGTGTTTTTAAATTTCCTTGTTCGGACCATTCATAAACTATAACTGTACATTGTCCAGAACCCCATTCTAAAGTTGAAAGTCCATGAAATTTGATAATATTTGGACAATTATTCAATTTTTTCAGAAGAACTAGTTGTTCCTGAAATTTTTGAGTTTGTTGTGTATCAAATCGTTTGCAAGCGACAAACTTTCCTGAAACCTGCCACAGCCTTTTCAGAACATTTCCGTATTGATCATTAGCTTTGGGACGAGTGTTATTAATCAGTTCAGCGGGTGGTATTTGTGTTATTTTAATTTCATTGTTTCCATTATTTTCATTTATATGAGACTTAATTAATATTATTTCTTCAAAAATAGGACTAATCTGCTTTTTTGAAGTAGTTACTGGATTACCAATTTTTTCAAGAAACTAAAAACAGTAATACGATAATAATCAAACTAAATAAATGTTAAACCTCATTAAAATTTTATATAAACAACATTGTATTAATTACCTCATCTAATATTGCAATATCTGCTTGCAGAGCTTGAGCATCTCTTTTCTTTTGTAACTCTCTGTCTTGAGGCACCTCAAGATTTAAGTCCATAATAACATCGTCGAATTCTTTTGAAATACGATCAAACCTTTCTTTGATACTTTTCGTCGTAGGAAATTTACGTAGGCTCCATAAAGACGACACATCAGTGATGAATTGCTGAGTTTTTTTCAATATAGCGAGTAGACGAATCAAAGCATTATAATAATTTTGATTAAGGAAATTTGTTTCTATTTTATCTTTACGTCTTTTCAAAGCTTTTATAGGCGCTCCAACGCAATCAACTCGATCGAGCAGAGCATTGCTAATTCTTTTATTATACTGTGCGTAATCATATGAATTATAAATTCTTCTGATTGAATCAGTAAGCGAGCTGATTAAAGGTGCATAAGGCTTGACAACTTCACCAATTACAGCCACTTCGCCAAGGAGTGTTTTAGCATGTTCCAACTTGTCGCTCACACTACGATCAGAATACTGATCTTCAGTTTGTTGTGGTGTTTCATTATCACTTGCAGGCTCGTTAGGACTAATCTCGAGTGTTTCTTTAGTAGACATTTATTAACTGTTCAAAATCATAAATGAGATTAGATCGTTACGCGATTTAATAGTCTAAATACGTATAATTTCTTTCTTTCATCCCTTGATTTTCTTATGCAGTTTAGAGTATTAAATTTATCAATGTCTCGTACGCGTTTATAAATTCGACATTACCTTGAATAATTTATATGTGTATCCTAAAAAATAAAAATTCGGGTTATTGTACGTAGAGTTCGCCGAGTTAATGAGCCACATGTATGCGCCACATGATTGACATATTGCAACCAATCAATTATATACGTAGAAAATATTAGTAAAATATATATTATAACCTATTATCTCGGTCTTAACCCTGAATAACGCAAATGTTTCGCTACGGTAACATTTTTTAAAATATAGACAGATTTTATGCTAAATAATCTAAAAATATTATTATAAATAAACTTTATCTTTAGTTTGAAATTTACCTGAGAGGTAAATGACATGTCATTGGGTGTGCCATTAAAAATATTTGCCACCAACTACCCTATTCCACAGGTGGAAAATCAAACCTTTTCGGCAAGTATTCTTTTAAAAATCCTTGGTGCGATATGCAATCTTTTTCTATATCTTTTAAACATTTTCCAACCGTTTAAATTACATGTGAAAGAGATACAGAAAGAATTTAGAAAATATAGAAAATACTTGGAGAAGTTGCATATCACACAAAAATTTTTGAAAGAATACTTGCAAAAAGGTTTATTCTACCTGTGCCCCTTCTTTAACAAAAAAATTAAATTTGTATCCAAATTATCTTGAATATAGGTGATTAATCAATTGAATCAAGCCCTGCAGTAGTTCCGAAATATTATCAAAAGTTAACTCAAGATCATGAGTCGAGCTATTTGTCATGAACTTCCGGTGTTATTATTAAAAATATCGACTCAATCGCATGCTCAAATTTTTCAGAAATTGATTCCTATTCAATAAGCCAAATTTCTAAAGCATTTGATATACGCCAAAATTTATTCTCTACACACATTGAATACATTGAATACTATCATGTCAATACTTAAAACAGAAATTCAAATTTATTACTATCAATTTACTATGCTTATTATGATACTTTATTTGTACCCTAATTTACATCTGTGTGTGTCATTTTAATCCAAGAAGCGCTTCGAAGCACTCTACTATTTGTCAAAGCTTCAAGTGGGACTATATTAGTCAGAAGTACTTATCATTCGTCAAAGCTTCAGATTAGTCCGAGTACCGTAAATGTCTGAATACAAGACCAAGGTCTGTTACATTTCACCAATTTTAAAACCTATAATTAGACCCGCGGGTCTCTTGTATGGGTGTGGGTCTGATAATTGGAAGGTTTGTTCTATTTTCATAATATTTTCATAGTTTTTTTCTATTTGTATACCCCGAGCCTTTACATTTTACCAAAACTTTACCCTATATTGTAGACCCGGGTATAGTACATAGTGGGTCCACTATCTAGAGAGATGGCCATTTACGGTACTCCTTTGAATCGGTGAAGCTTCAGATGAAATTATATTAGTCCGAGAAGTACTCAGAAGTACTTTACTATTTGGAGAAGTTTCAGGTGGTGTTTGGAGAACACACCACCTTATGTTGGCTCTTCAAATGTTCCCGATGATACTTTACGATTCTCATCCAGGGATAGTGATTTTCTGTGTTTCACAGAAGACCACATAATTTCTCTTAAACACAGCTAACTACAGAAATCATTCTTAGTCACCGCAGAATACCACAAAATTCACAGAATTCTAAAATGTTCCCAATGTTCCCGGGAACATTTAAAAAAATTTAGGAACATAAGATTTAAAACTTATGTTCCTTTTTAGGAACAAAGTGGGAACATAAAAGTTATAACTTACGTTCATATAGAGAGAGAAAAAAAAAAAAAGTGTGTGTGTATGTGTATATTTTTATTATAGGAACATTAAAAATTTTTTGAGAACATAAATTTAATAACTTATGTTCCCAAAGAACAAAAAAAAATTCAAATCTTTTTCACTGTATGCTACCATAGATCCACCAAATAATTGTGGTGTATCAGGTAACTAATAGTAAGATATGGGCATGGGTACATATAGCGGTAAAGATCAATAATCCCGATATTTTACTCTTAAATATATGAGTAGGATATTGGGATTGCTGATATGTTACTAATATGCTACAGTTATTTGGCGGATCTACAGTAGCATATAGGGCGAATATCAAGAATTTTGTATCCCGTTATTTACCCGTTACTTATTCGTTCAACCTGTGCTAGTATAGCAAAAGCTGAAAATTGCAAGGCCTCATTATATTCAGTGTTGGCCCATGACAAGGTCATAACAGGTCATATTACTAAGTTCAATTAGTGAGGTCATATGACTGAGATCATA